CCCCTTCTCCTCCTCTCCCGTTGGGGGTTTTAAGGCTTCTGTTTCAAAGTGACCCATTTCCATCCCGTTTCGGGCTGCTGGTGCTGGTTTTTCCCCAAGCCGTGGAATCAGCAGATGGGTGAGACTCGGCGCCGGGGCCGGATCCGGGCGGATCCCAGAACCAGGCAAGCAGCCCCGCTGCACCACGGCCCCCACCCAGGCACGCTGCTCCTCGCCTTGGAGCTCCCCACGCCGTTTCCATCTAAGTGCTTTTCCAGAAGAAAGTATCTTCTCCACTTAGTTAGTTCCCCCTTCTCTTTTTTTTTTTTTTTTTTTGTCTTGCAGAAAATATATTTCGGTTGACATTTTCCATGTGGTTTTTCCAATAAAAAACAGCCACAACAAGTATCCATTTTGCTGAACGCAAACAACCCAAATTATTCCTTTTTTTGTTGTTTTTTTTTTTTTTCTCAATTGAAAACTTACATGGCTCCAGGGTTTTTTTCCTTGGGCTGTGTTGAAGCCAAGCCCGAGACACACACGCATGTGCATGTGTGTGTAGGAATGCATTTGTGTATCTCCGAGGGGAAAAAAAAAACCCATCAGGCTTTTCCTAAATTTCCCTGTTCCTTGAGTGGGAGCAGCGGAGCAGCAGCTCTTTACTGGCCCAGGTTTGCTCTGGGATGACTCCATCGGTGTATTCCCCATAACCACAAGACTTCCAGGCAGGTCCCTTCGCTTCCTGTGCTCCTGGAGTTTGGCTAAGCACATCCAAGCCTCTGCCCTAAGTCCAGCAAGCTCCACGCCCCAGCGTGGCCTGCCACACTTCTTTCCTGATGCTTTTATTACATAAAAACAGAAAAAAAACCCCAAAACACAGCAAAAAAATATGTGGATATATTCCTAATGCTTAAAGAGTGGCAAAGAAGAGAGTTGGATGAACCAGTTTATTGCTCTGCAGCAGAACAATAGGAAATGGCAGGTTTTCCTCATTACAGCTTCATTGGGTGGTGGGGGCTGGGATGAGCATCAGATGGGTTTTGCTGATGTCCCAGTTGCTCCTGGGGCTGTTTGTGTCCATAACTAAGAGGAAACTGGGCCTTAGGGGTTATTAAAGGAGCCAGGCTGTATTTTATGGGGCAGCACTGCCGAGGGGAGCGAGGCATCCGCAGCGACTGTTGGAAGTTCAAACAAATGGAAAATATTTGGTAATGCTGGAGCCGGGGGGTGGCACAGCCTGGCCCTACTGGATAAGACTTGGGGAAAGGAAAGAGGCACTTCTCTGCCAGAGGCAACAGTTGAGGTGGTGGGGCTGTTTTTTGGGGGTCTTGCTGCGCTGGGTGGGATTTGGCAGCAGGTGCTGTGGCTTTGGGATGTCTCCCCGTGTCAGGTGTTCTCCCCAAAGCCCAGCTCCCTGGGGTTGGGGGACGTTGGTTTTCCCCTGGCAGCAGCTGCAGCCCTGGCTGGGCTGGCTCTTCCAAAGCCCAGTATGGGAGCATTGCTCCCCACCCCAGCACGGCACGTCTCGCTTTGCTTCCCAGAAACCCAGCCCTGTTCAAGTCGGGTGTCAGCAAAGCTGCAGCTGTTTAATTGGTCATCAGTGCAGCTTTGCAATCAGTTACTTTCGCTGCTCCCTTTCTTTGGGAAACAAGGACACGACAGGAAGATGGGATATTTTGTGAAGGGCTGCTCCAGGCAGTGGTTTGCTGATCTGCTCCATCCAGTGGGAGCTGTAAAGGGGGTAAGAACCTTCCTGTTCCACACTGTACATGGGCAATGCCAGGATCTGCTCCCTGGAGTCAGAAGTGTCCCCTCTGGCTTCATCTCATGAAATCATGGAGTGGTTTGGGTTGGAAGGGACCTTAAAGACCATTTTGTCCCACCTCTCTGCCATGGGCAGGGACACCTTCCACTAAACTGGGGTGCTCCAAGCCCAATCCAACCTGGCCTTGGACACTTCCAGGGATGGGGCAGCCACAGCTTCTCTGGGCAACCTGGGCCAGGGCCTCCCCACCCTCCCAGGGAAGAATTTCTTCCTTAACATCCCACCTAAATCTCCCCTTCATCATTTTAGAACTGTCACCCCTTGCCCCACTATGTGAAAAGCCCCTCTCAGTCTCTTTGAAAAGCCAAGAGGCCGCAGCAAAGTCTCCCTGGAGCCGCCTCTTCCTTCTCGCTCCCCTTCCCTCCCTCTCCGGCTGTTCCTGCGGATCAGCCGTGAGAGGCGTCCGTGCTGTGGGCTAAGAACCAAAGTTTGGGGGCTACTGAGGCGTCAGGAACCTCAGGGAGAGTCAAGGCTGAAGCCCTTCCCTTGCATCTTCACACCAAGCCTGTCTGACCCTGCTCATGTCCCACCTTCTGCCTTTCATGGGGGCACAGACCACAAACCCACATGGAGGCTCCAGCAGCACAGGGAGCTGCTGGAGCAGGTCCAGAGGAAGCCACGGAGATGCTCTGAAGGCTGGAGCCCCTCTGCTCTGGAGACAGGCTGGAGCAGCTGGGATTGTTCAGCCTGGAGAAGAGAAGGCTCTGGGGAGACCTTGGAGTGCCTTCCAGTGCCTAAAGTGGCTCCAGTAGAGCTGGAGAGGGACCTTGGACAAGGACCTAGAGAGACAGGACAAGGGGGGGGATGTTTTTAAACTGAAAAGAGTGAGAATTTAGGTTGGATATTAGAAGGAAATTCTTCTGTGTGAGGGTGTTGAGGCCCTGGCACAGGTTACCCAGAGAAGCTGTGGCTGCCCCATCCCTGGAAGTGTTCAAGGCCAGGTTGGACGGGGCTTGAAGCAGCCTGGTCCCATTGAAGGTGTCCCTGCCCATGGCGGGGGGGTGGGACAGGATGAGCTTTTAGATCCCTCCCAACCCAAACCAGTGTGTGATTCTGTGAACTACAGCAGCAGCCAAAACCAGGGGACGAGAGCAAGTAAGAGTCGCTAATGTCATTAGGGGAATTACTGGAGAGGATTTGCCACGACAGATCAGGCCATCAGTCCTTCAGGGCCAGGCCGCTGACTCTGGCAACCGCCAATATGGTTTGCATCAGGGGAAAGGCAAAAATCCCCTGCTAGTGTGGGGCAGTAATTCCTTCCTGACCCCTTTGGTGATCGGCTTAGGCCCTGAAGCATGAGATTTGATTACCCTCTTAGACTTACAAGGTTAATTCTTCTAGATCGGGTTCGTGCACGGCGTCAGGGAAGGTTTGGGGTTTCTGTCCCGGGTCACGGGTGGATGCCTAAGGCAGCATTAGGTGATGCCTTTGTGTGATGTCGTGGCTAAATGGTAAAGTTTTGCTTTTCTCTGTAAGAAGCAGGGGTGCCAAGGCAGATGGGTGCTCCTCTGCCCCGTTCCTGTCCGCAGAGGGAATGCCTCCTCATCTGTTGAGGGATAATTTGGTGCTTTGGGGTTCTGCTCAGCTCTCTGGTTGTTTTGGGGAGGGTGATCCCACACTCAAGGGCAAAACCCAAACCAAGCTTGTTCCTGGTCTCATTGCCAGGAGCTGCTCCCTTGTTCACACGCCTCGGCCTCACCCTGTTGCCCCCGATCTCGGTGGATGAGAGGGCTCGTGGTGCCTGGCAAGGTGTGTTTTGGGTGAGGTATCCCCAGCACCGGCAGCTGCAGAAACAACTACCCTCAGCTGTTCCCTCTGTCTTGGCAGAGACACGGTGTGTTTTCCTCTCAGGGGCTCCTCGGGCTGCTTAGAGGGTGAGTCAGAGCCGCGGGGCCGTCCCGGCGGGGACAGCGAGGCAGGTCGTGCCAGGCTGTGGCGGTGCCGGAGCTGCAGCAGAGCACCCTGTCTCTGGTGGGGATGTGGGACCAGAAGTGCTGCTGGCACAGTGCTGGGGAGCCCTGGCTTGGTTTTAGTGCCTATCCTGCCATGGAGGAGCAGCTGGGTCCCACCTGAAGTCTTACCGTGCAGCTGTGGCTGCTGCGTGGTACTGCCAGCTCATGGTCATGAGACCAGCAGGGTCCAGCAGCTGGCAGCAGCAATTTTGGGTGACCGAGAGGCCCAGGATGCCACCGAGGAGGGGAAATGGCTGATGACACCAGAGCTGGCCCTCAAGTAGTTTAATTTGCGTCAGAGCGTGCCAGGGCTGGGGCAGCGCTGACAACGTGAGCGCCGGCGCTCACAGCCCGGCCGCGGCGAGAGCGGGCGCACGTGGAGGGCGCAGCGGCGCGGGGTGCCAGCCCTGCACTTTCCAGGGGATGAGGGGATTACAGCCGAATCTCGTTACTGCTTAATCATCTCTGGGCGATGGTGGGGAGGGGCAGCGGCTCCCTATGCTGAGTGTGCCCAGAGCTGCCCCTGCTCTGCCCTCCCACCGCACATCTCGAGGGGCGCAGGACCCCGGGCGGTGTGTGCTGGGCGCTGCCAGCAGCATCGTGGGCTGGGGCGCTTCTCCTCAGCGCTGGCGTGGGCCAGGAAGCTCCCTGATGAACTCTTTGGACTGTGGCTGTGACGCCACTGACTCGGGCTGAGCGAAGGCAGCAGCCTCCTTCGCTCTCCTCCCTCAGCTCCGCACATTAAAGCTTTCAGCTGCAAAATCGATGCTGTGGTGGAGGCCCAAAGTGGGGTCGAGCCCTCCCGAGCAGCGAGGGAGCAGCTCTTGGCACCCCAGGGCATCTCAGCTCGACTCCAGCCCTTCACCCGGCGGCTGCTTCACCCCCAGAGCGATGCTTAGAGCAGAGCTGTGACCTCCTGCCTTTTATTGCATCTTCTGCTTTTTATTTGCTGAGAGGGCACTGGCCAAGCGTCGCGCCTTCCCCGGCAGCGTGCCACGTGTTCCGGGGGGGTGAGGGACCCTCAGCAGCCGTCTGCACTGCAGCAGGGACTGGGAGCCCCAAAGCAGCTCCCTCCCCTCCAGCTGGGTCCTGTTAGGAGCATGGCAGCGAGAGCTGAGTGCGGGCTGGGGATCACAGCCCAGCGTCTGCCCGGCAGCTGGAGTGGCTGTGGGAGCCAGCACCCAGTTTGGCCCCGGCCCCCAGCCAGCTCACCAGGATCAATCCTGCAGAAGCTGCCTCATTACCCAATGCTCTGGTGACAGCTCAGGGCAGGGCAGGTCGGGGGACAGGAGACCCCAGTAGGCAGGCAATGCAGAAAACCCCCCAACAAGGTTACAGGGACAGCAAGAGGGAGCACGGGGGGCTCGGGGTGCCCCCAGGGAAGCAGGACAGTGACTCAAGGGTGGGGTGGGCACCCCAAGGCAGTGTCAGGGAGCTGAGCCCCCAGCTCTGCAGCCCCTAAGGTTGGGTGCTCACAGTGCTGCCGCGGCGAGCGAGGACGAGATCTCCATTGCTTGAATATTCGACTTAAAAACCGCCGAGAACCCGCAGCCCCCAGACAGATGGCAGCTCTGCTGGGGATTTTGCTGAAATTTATTTTCTCTTGATTTGGCAATATGTGATTTCCAACGCTGATAATCATCTTTGTGCTTGTGAAGTGTCTGCTTTTGGAGGATCCCAAAATAGGCAGCGATACGATCCGGTTGGAAGAGGGAAGCAAGAGAGGAGAGCTTGGGGTTGGGCCCATTTGAGGAAACTGAGACATAATATTCCCTTTGCCCTCCCTTTCCTTCTCCTCTTTGTCCAGTGGTTGTTCCATTTGTCTCTGGGAGGTGTCAGGTCTGTGGCAGCAGGGACAGAGTTTCTGACCCCCGGCTGTCCTTGCTTTCAGGTGACCTTCACCAAGCGCAAGTTCGGCTTGATGAAGAAGGCCTATGAGCTGAGCGTCCTGTGCGACTGCGAGATCGCCCTCATCATCTTCAACCACTCCAACAAGCTGTTCCAGTATGCCAGCACCGACATGGACAAGGTGCTGCTCAAGTACACCGAGTACAATGAGCCCCACGAGAGCCGGACCAACGCAGACATCATCGAGGTGAGGCCACCCGTCCTCTCCCCGGCTCTGCTGTTGTGGTGGAGCCAGGGCAGGGTCTGGCACCCCACCGAACACAGGAGGTTGGTGCAGGGTGGGGACGGAGCGAGCAGACCTTCCACACTCAGTGCCAGGTGGATTCTGCATCGTTTTGGTTTCAGCCTACAAAAATACTCCGTTTGGGTGGTAGAGTTGACGCTGTCTCGAGTTATGTGTTGACCTAATGCCTCGAAACTGAGGTGCAGGTTTGCTTTGTGGCACTTTGCCGCGGTCCAGGCAGATCATGTGTTTGGAGGCATCTCATGGGGTTGCTGCACTGGGGTGCCTGGTGCAGCTGGTGGCATTGCCCAAGCCCAGTGTTCTGACAGGCGCAGTGGGGTTGTGGGGGAGCACAAGGAGTTCAGGTGGGATGGACCTTGGACATCTCTGGCCCAACCCCTGCTCAAAGCATGGCCGAGCTCACAGGTTGGTGGGGTTGGTCAAGGCTTGTCCATCTGTGTTTTGTGGGTCTCCAGGGATGACCCAACCAGGTCCAGTCTGACCCACCCCTGGCACTGCCACCGGCATGTCCAGACGGTGTTCACGCCAAAGCCTCTCTCCTGCAGTCTGCTGGCATTGCGGGAGATGCTCAGCTGCCACGTGCTGTCAGGGTCCCTCTCCACTGCTTTGTCCTCGTCCCTGGTGCTGGCAGAGCATTACTGGGCGTTTGGCTCACATGGAGGTGCCAGCAGTGCCTCAGCCATTGGTCACAGATAGAGCTGTGGGGTCATCACCTGCCATTAAATCTGGGCAGACAAAGGGCTTGGCTGGGTAATTAGCAGCATTACAGCATCAGTTAATGCCCTCAGAGCCGCTGGTGATGGAGCAGAGCGGCACAGCCCTGTGCTGCTGCAGGAATCAGGCTGCACCACTTCTGCCTTTGAATCCCTTTGGTGCCTCTTGGCCAGCACGCTCATGGATTTCATGAGGGAGAAGGGGAAAAAACCCAACTTGCCCCCTAAATCTTGCTTTCTTTTTGTTTTCTGTTCTCTGTGAAATGTGTCTTTTTGAGAAGTTTGAACTTGAGGTTTTCACCTCGTTGTACTCCCAGTTGAACCACGACCAAGCATCTGGCAGCATCTGCCTTCTCTCGCTGGGGTTTGGAGACTCTTCTGCCGCCTCAGAGTAGCGTAGGGGCCTTAGAAATGGTTCAGAAACGTCCTTTTTGGCCCTTTCGAGGCAGGTGATGCCCCTTCCATGTGAAAATACTGGGGTTCTGCAGGCATCTTTCTCCTGCCACGCTCGCCAGCGCAGCCTCTCCGGGATGCTCAGACTGCGGCGCTCGCAGCGCCGAACAGATTTGTCTTGGCCTAAAAATACCGTAAACATTTTGGGCAGCGTTCTCTGTTCCCGTATGGTCCAAGATGCAAACACTCCCAAGCCGACAAGTTACACACAGTCCTTGGCACCCAAAGAAACGCTGTGTTTGTACCACATGAAAAGCTGGATCTGCATCCAAAGCCGAGGAGAGGAACATCGGGAGCGGAAGGATATTGGTGGATGGCAAGAAAAGGAGCCCAAACACGCTGGGCTCGGCACATCTTGTTGGCAGAGCCGTCACAGAGTGGAACCCGCTGGGGTGAAGGCAGGTCTGGAGGCTGCTCAAGCTTCCCTCCTCATCTTCATCTTGTCTTGGAACAGGGTTGGGGCTGCTCTGAGATTTTTACTGGTTTCTCTCCCATGTCCATGCCCCCTAGGAGACGATACCTGCTCCTGGTGCTGATTTCCATTTCCCCTCGCCCAGGTCAGGTTCCACCAGTCCAGCTGTGTCCCCACTGCACACAAATCCAATTTATCTCGTGTTTTCTTGGTGTCTCCCAATTGAACTTGACTCCCAGAAAGTATCCTCACATTGCAGAAGCTTCCCTGTGTTGAACCTTTAGTGATGGTGAAGGCCCAGGCTGGGATTTGTCACCCAGTATGGTTTTAAGTGGATTTCAAGGACCCACCTTCCCTGTGACGCCTGCAGCCCCTTCCTACTGAGGGATGCAGCTCTGAGGGGCTCTGGCATCATCTCAGGAAGGATGAGGAGCAGCTGGGACCTGGGGGAATTGAGGCAGGAGCCTCCTGCTTCTGATTTTGTTTTCCTGGTGGAGGTGGAGTGGGCGGTGGCTCCGGAGGGTGGGCACTGTTACCACAGCTCAGGGCAGGACGAGTTGCTCTGTCCAAATCGTGTTTTAAAACAGCAGTAAACGTGAGGATCTCCTGATTTTTGGCTGTGGGGAGGGACATCTATGCGGGGAGCACTGGGGGCACCCCATCCCGTGCTGCACAGGAATGCCCTGGAGCGGTTTATCCCCCCGGATAAGCGGGAGGCAGAGCTGCTCTGGGATGAGAGTACACAGCCCTAGTGCAAGAGGGGTTCCACACCCCCCGACTGCCTTTTGGGGACCACCCCCCATGGGGGCATCCCCGTGCCTCAGCCCCGCCGGGGCTCGGCCGCGGCTGTCGCGAGTGGGATTCAGCCACGCAACCCCCGCGGCTTCTCCGTGCCCGGCAAAGTCCTGGCTGCTGGAAGCTTTTAAGTCTGAGAAAATCTCTCTAATGCAGAGAGGGGGGTTTCCTTAATCAGGCGGGGGACAGCTGAGCCCCCAGACAGGCACGCTGGGTGCCACGTGCGTGCCCGGCCTGGGATCACGCCGGCTTTGCTCCTCGCTGTCGCTTCTCGTTTCCTCGCAGCCCGGCTGACGTGCCAGTTTCTGATAAGGGACTTGGACAGAGCAGAGCTCACCGGGCACTGAGATGCTCTGCAGCCAGTTAAAGCCACACAGCCCTTTCTGTCCTTTCCTTGGCTGAGTGTTCCGGAGGGCGGCTGATTTACCCCCTAGTTCTCCTTCCTCTCATTCCCCAGGATGTGTAAAATCAGGCATTTTGCAGGATGCTGGGGAGTGCAGAGGCAGCTGCCAGTGTCGTGTCCTCATCCTCATTCTCATCCTTATCCTCGTCCAGACTTCCCCAAAGCCCAGGGTGGTTGAGTCTCCCTCCTCTAGGGGAAGTCAACCCGCATCCTGGTCAAGCATCGTTTCCTCTCACATGTTCTGCGTTTCCTGCTGCTCTCTCACACTCTTCAGGTTGGAAATGTGCTGCTGTGTGAGCTGGGATCATGGGATTGGGAATATTTCCTGGAAAAGAAGGTGCTGCGGTGGATCCTGATAGAATGGGGTGGCAGCGAGAGGGGCAGATGATGAACGAGGTCGATTTTTGCCGTGGGGAGTTCCCACTCTGTTTTTTCTCCTCTGAAAATTTTCTGCTGGGAAAGAATCGGTTTTAGATCTCTTTTATATGAAAAATACTCGTGTTCCACTGGCTGCAGCCCAGTGACAGAAAGGTTTCCTGAAAACCTCTTTGTATCTTCTGTTTTCACCCTGGCAAAGAGAATGACGAGGAATGAGAAGGAAAGCTCTTTTCTGAAAGCCCTTGCAGAGATCCCGAAAACAGGAATCTTTGGGTTTGATTCCCGCTCCAGCAGGATTGTTTTCCTTTTGCATCATCTTAAAAAGCTAAAAATGTGGGACGCACATTTTTTTTGTCAAAAAAAAAAAAAAAGAAATAAAAAACCCGAAAGAACCGGCAGCCAACGCCTGTAATGGCTGAAAAATGGCATTTTATTGTCCCAAACCTCTCGTTGAGCAGCAGATTGCTGCGAGCTGGGCTGCCTTGGCTCGTGTGCTGCTGCGACTCGGTCACTCACCGCCGCCGGTGCTTCCCGTCCCACCGCGCTGCAGACCAGCCCCGTCCTCGCCTGTACCAGCTCTGGAGCTCGTCCCCATCCCCTTCCCCGCAGCTCCAGCAGCCCCTCGCTGTGGCCAGGGTGACAGGCAGGGTTACAGCAGGCTTGGGGCTGGGGATGGCAGTGCTGCAGCAGCCCCTCACAGCTCGGGGTGCTCCAAACCCACCCTGGCAGGGAGCTGTGGGTCTCACAGACAGTGAAGTTACAACTGATTTTAAGAAGTTGGTGGCTGGGGAGAGCAGGGAGACCAAGGTGACGCTGTGTAGGGCACTACATGTGTTAAACCCACAGAGAATGACCTTGGGAAAGGCAAAGGGTAATGCTGTGAGCTTGTTTCAGGGTCTGGGTGAGCAGAGCCACGTCCACCCCGTTCCACCGCTTTCCTTGACAGACTTGTTGAGGAAACAACCCTCAGGGTCATTTCATGAGGACATAAAAATGGCAAAATGCTGCAGCTGGTGGCAGCAGCCCCTTGCTCGTCCCTGCTCTGGGTTTGGGTGGTGAATGGGGGGCAGAGGTGAGGGCACTGGGAGCTGCCTAAAACCTCCAGGCCCCTGTGTCGTTGCTGCAGGTTTTAGAAAGGAGAAGGACGTTGCTGCTTGGCTGAAACCTCTTAAAAATTCCGTTGGGAGGTTCCCTCCTTCGAAGGTCCCGGGGGGGTGGCCATGGCTCGTCCATTCCCACAGCTCCTGAACCTGCCAGCAGCTGTTGCTGGAGGAGAGGAGCTTCCAGGGATGTGAGGGATTGCCTTCCCAACTGCCAGGCAGGGATGGGAGGGAAGAGGTGCGAGTTCCAGTTCCTGCAAAAGAAACTGTGGTGAGATGGGACAGCCCCCTTAGACACTGGAGAGTGTCCCCAGCACCCGAAGGAAACCCGACTTCAACCCGTGTGCTGCTCATGGAACAACTTTTTCCACTTTGCCTCTGAAAGAGAAAAAGGAAAAAAATCTCTTTTTTTTTTTTTTTTTTTTAGAGAAAAGCTCAACTTTCCGTCTTTTAGCTGCATCGGTGAAACAAAAGGTTTTGGAAAAAAAAAATCCGCAAAAAGCAGTTTCAAAAAAAAAAGAAAGGCAAAGCTGTTCCTTCCCCACCAGCAGCGGCTCTTCCTCTTTTGGGCCGTTCTCAGAACAAACAAGGACACATACAAAAATAGAAAAATAGTAGGGAAAAATCCTCGGGAACCTGCAGAACTCAAGTGCTGGGAATCTCTCTACTGTTCATGGCAGTAATTCCAATTCCTGCTGCCTTTCTCTGTAGATAGACAGCACAGGAATTGGCAGTACCAGGAATTATTAGGAATATTATTATTAGGTATAAGAATTATTCAGAATCATTATTATTAGGTAATTAGCTAATAGTTACTAGGTAGCAGGAATTACTGGTAATGCCAAGCAGAGTGTCAGGTGCCACTGTGGCCAGGAGTGAGCCTGGTCCTTCCCTGCTGGAGCTGGAGCTGGACGAGGACATTTCCCTTCTGCGACTGAATACGGTAACGAGGGTGGAAATGGCGCCACGGAAGGAGCAGTTCTAATGGAAAATGTTGTGAAAAGCTTCAGCTGGATGGAGAGCAGGGCTGGGGGTGGGTGTGGTGCCCATTGCTTGGCCGTGGCCACCTGGCACAAGCATCCCCTAAGCCAGACCTGCAGGAAGAGTGGAGCCGTGTGGCACCGGTGCTGTGTGGGACCAGTGCCAAGCGTATCCTACCTGCGACATTCCCAGCCTTTCTGGAGACATCCCGGCTTTTATTCTCTCCAGCAAAACTTCCCCTCCGAGCCCTGTGTTTCCCAGAGCTCACAGGGAGTGGAAGAGCCACTCCTGAACACGCTTTGGCCTCAGAATGGAGATGTTTATTGCTGTTTAGGAAGACAGAGAATTGTCAAGACTTTTTTTTTTTTTCCCCCTACTGCTGATTTTGGCATGAAAAGGGACCGAGACTTCCAGGAAATTCTGTAGCTTTGACTTCCAAAAAAAAAAAAAAAAAAAACCAACGAGTTGGCAAGTGCTGGTTCCGTCATAACGCCTGATTGCTTTTGGTATGTTGAAAATAGAGCGATTAAACGTGGATCTCAACTGGCTGCTGAGCACGAGCGAGGGACTTTGGGGTGTCCCCATCCCCTGTGTGTGGCCAGGACGGGAGGTCACTGGGCTCCTCCTGAGGAGGAGGTGTCACCTTGTTGCCTTGATGCAGCAGTGCTCGAGACCTTTCCTGCTCATGAGCCCAGTCTTGGCCTGGGGTTTGCTGCCCAGTGTTGTCACTGTCACCCCCCGTGCCACCCCCAGCAGAGCTCGCAGCTGTCACTGTGCCACGTGCCCTGTCCTGCGATGCTCTCCCTGTTGCACCTTTGCCTTTGGTAAATGCCACCCGTCTGGTTTTGTCAAGGATGAGCTACTCTTTGCTTAGAATTTGGGGTTTTTCTTTTCCTGTTTGTAAGCAGGTTTTTGCAGTAGAGCAGAGGGCATCAAGGTTTATTTCCCCTCCGTGGTGTCGTACTTGTAGGTGACGAATGCGCCTGAGCTGGTGCGGGGCCAAGTTCAGCTCCAGCGTAAACAGAACCTTTGAAAGCAAGGAAGTTTCTCTCCATTCCTCCCCATGCTGCAATTCCTAAATTAGAGACGCCCTGCCATCACAGCCTAGGATCTCTATCCTGGCTTTTTGACCCTGTTGAGGTCAGCAGCACCTTGGGGCGATGCTGTTGATTTGTGCGAGGGCGACTCGTGGCCCGTCCGGGCCGGTGGGTGTTCTGGGCGGGGGGGACCTGCCTGTGTTCCCCATCCCCACTCCACACAGGATCTCAGACTGTCACGGTTGTGCTTTCAGACATTAAGAAAGAAAGGTTTTAACGGCTGTGACAGCCCGGAGCCCGACGGTGACGACTCCATAGACCAGAGCCCTCTGATGGAGGATAAATACCGCAAAGGCAGCGAGGATCTGGATATCCTGTTCAAGCGATACGGTGTAAGTACCTGCCCGTGGCTGGAAAACCTTCATTATATGTTCTTTTCTGTTTTGTTTCTCTTCTGTTCGACTTCCTCCCGACCTCGTCCCCCGCTCCCTCCCCGACACCCCCACCCCGTGTCCCCCCCCCCAAACGTAACAGGCGCTGAACAAGAAGCACAGGGAGTGCGAGAGCCCGGAAGGGGATGAAGTGTTTGCGCTGACCCCGCAGACGGAAGAGAAATATAAAAAGATTGATGAGGAGTTTGATAAAATGATGCAGAGTTACCGGCTCGCAGTGAGTAGCTGGTGGCCTGCAGCCCCCCCGCCCC